TTAAATCCTACTCTAACTAATACTGAGACATTTTGTGATAAAACTCTATATTTGAGGGATTGTGCAAGTGGTAATTACCAAATTAGGAACAATATCGATGTTGTTGGTAGTGGGAATTACCAAGTTAGGCACTTCAAATAGTAGATTATAAAAAGTAAAAGCTACTAAATTATGTGGTTCTTTTATGCCTTCTTCTTGTGAAATTGAGAATATTCATGTGAAACTTTTATCTGAGTTACAGCATTTTAGTCTTTTGAAACATGTTTGTTTTAGCCTACGACGCAGCAGCTTCATATATATTAAACATGAAAATCAAATGAATATAATGTAAACTAAAATTCACTAGCAAATTGGAATGCACCATGATATGTGAAACCTCAAAGTTTTATTGAATGATATGAAAGATTACAACTCTGGTACCCAAGAGATTGCTTATAGTGCCTCTTAACTTCTACGAGTACAAATAGGAAAGCATTAAACAAAATAAAATACCAGAAGGTGCTAAATTATTAATTTTTTTGGTCAAACGATAGATTTGGTAGATTAGAGAGTCGACATGATTTGAGCCCACATCGTGGTGCAAGCACAACACTGATTTCCATCACTGTGGTAAAGGGCCACTTGTAGTTCTAAATTATTATTGAATGATATGAAAGATTATATCTGTAACACCCAAGAGATTGGGTATAGTGGCTCTTAACCCTAGACTTTCTAACAGTATAAATAGGAAAGAATTAATTTAACAAATACCATAAGGGTTCAAAAATGTTAAATTAGGTTTTGGGATGTAAATACAAATTCGGCCCAAAACGCCCATACATCAAACCGTATCTAGTGTTTTAGTCTTGATCGCCTCGTTGTTCTCTTTAAACGGATGATAATGAGCCCAAACTAGACAAGGAAGCCCAAGTATTTAACGTTTGGTTATGCTATCAACTTTACTCATATTCAATTGTTATTTAATCCTTTCAGTCATTTGCTCTACATGTGTGTATTTTTTTAATTTAAGCATGGACTTAAGGACCTTACATACAATAAGCAAAGTTAACTTAAGAATCCTTTGAGTGATCTGTTCTACCTCTAATTATTTAACGTTAATTAGATGACTAAATCTTGGATTATGCTTATGTTTAGCTGGTCCTTGAAGGGAGACTTAAAAAATATATGGCTGCAGTTACAAGTCCACAATGCAAATGTGACTCCAATCTTTAATACAAAAACCAAGGCCCAATATAGTAATCAAATGTGACAATGCAATTTGATCTGGCAGTTATTGACGATTAAAGTGTCTAAGGATGGAACTTTGACAATGCAATTTCCAGAGCAAAATACTTGCAGTAGACCAGAGAGTTGCACATGCTGCAACTGGCCAAAAGAAATCTCAATTTCCGAATCATCATTGCCGGTGATTGGCACTATTTCTACCATTCTTTCACAACACTCAACTTCCAACTTCTTGACCTGCTGCAAAGTTTTAGTCAGTGACAACGCAATACATCCAAAGTGGTTATATTCTGAGACGGATGAACTTAGATTATCTAGTATGCAACATTCCCACACGTGTAGTATTTCCAAGTTTGGAAAAACTGGGCCGCCTGGCTGGGAGTTCTCCTTTCTGTGATGCATCATCTTGTCCATGTCGCCAAACCACAATATCTTAACATGTCGGAGGCTCTCGACTGCATGCATTTCTCTGTTACTATTTCCCTCCTGGACAAATTACAAACTCTTTTAAGCTCGCCTTTAGTTTTCGTTGAATAGAGATGCCTTGAAAATTTGAAAAAAATAAATAAATAAATGGAGGCCAAATACTCATTTAATAAAAATCGAGAACAAGTATCTTTTCAGCTAAAAAGAAAGGTTGTTTGATTGGTGTATTGTGTCCCAACTCAGTTTTTCTTGGAATCTTGAAACTTCATAAGCAAAAATCTCCACATTACCACGTATGGTGAAATTCAATTCATTGAGTAATAGCTACTTGGAAACATGCATCCCCAATTCAAAACTCCTCAGTTATAAAACGGTTGAGCTACTCTCCAAATTGCCAATTGGTTCTATGGTGGAACTTCAACTTTCTTCATAGTATCAGAGCAAGTTATTCCACGTGTGAAGCCAAATAGCCACGCTCCACGTCACCTTGTTGTGTTGTCCACGTAGGCTTGAAAATTTGCCACACATGAGAGAGCGTGTTAAGAATGAGTCCCACATTGATGGGAGGAGAGACCTTGCATGGGCTTATAAAAGGTTGAGCTGCTCCCCACATTGCCAATTGATTTTATGGTTGAACCTTAACTTTCTTTACTCGCTTGGGGCAGTTTTCGGAAATTAAATTCTGTTACTTTGGGAACTACAAATTTAGGTACTGTTGTTTCAAGTCCTTCCTCCTTGGCAACCACTTCCTGCTACCCACAATTCTCAACACTCGACTTTGTCAGTTGCTGTAGAACTTTGGCCACCGAGGCTGTTAAGATATTTTTCAATCCCTCACACGAATCGAGGTAAATCCTCATCAACTGAGGTAAATCGTAGATGATCAGTCTCTCCATGTTAGGAAATCCGACCAACACAGACACTTATTAATCATTTTTAGTGCGATAGATTAATCGGAAATAAATACATAAAGAAAAAGAAATGCATGAATAATATACCTTTTCAGTTGATCATTGTTTTGGACATGGAGAATGTCTCCATCTGCTCGAAGTAATTACATACGTAACTTGATTTGTTTTGGACATAGAGATGCTTCAGTTGTTTAACACCGCCCATGGGAAATAATATTTACACTCCATCCCCCAACACGCACTGATCTAAGCACAGTGTTTGAAGAATTGCTAGGTATTTAAGAGATGGAGATAATGATGGAAAATGAGGCACAGTTATATCCAGCACCTTGAGGTCTTTCATCTCTTTAAAAAAAAAAAAAACTGCAAGGGATTTCTAGCGAGCCATCACTACTCCCTAAATCAAACATTTTCAGTTCTGAGCATTCCCAGGGTACTCAAGAAGCATGGGGATAGTACAGTAATGGAGAGAGATCGCAGAGCACTCTTTAAACAAATCCACAGCTGGCCATTCTTCCAACTCTGCATATGCTAGCAATCCGGACAGCAACATCTGTTACACGCCCTTGCATTCTAACACTTCGATCATCATAAATGCATTTCGTGCCTCTTCCAAAGTATCGACATTTTAACCAACTCTAAACACATAAGTATTTCAACAAGTCAGACCAAAAAATTAGTCACTTTGTGCCATCATTCCACAAAGCATGAGCAACGGCTTAAGCTCCTCATCAATTCATTGTAATTCCACTTAGAGTCACGTATGCTTTCTCTGTCCAGACTGGGATGAACACCAAATGCATTTATCATGTTCCCGGTAAATTGGATCCCATCAAACCGGACTCTAGACACTTCCGAACAATTCCTCAAGCACTTGGGCAAATACCCTGTTAGATTGTTATTGTTCACTTTGAAACTTGCAAAGTGAATCCGCTACACAACTCCGGTGACAGTCACAAAAACCAAGCTCAAAAGCGATTGAAGAGTTTAAGGAATTCTCACCAAGGTCAAGGTAATGAAGCTTCCTGAGTTCGCCTATTTCGATGGAATTTTCCCTTCAAGGGAATTTTGAGGTAGGTCAATATTTTGCAGTCCAGACATTAAACCAATATCTTAAGGGATTTGGCTACTAAAGTGTATTTGTCCTTGGTAAACTTTGAAAGTCTCATCTTTTTGTTCATGGTTATTTTCCCCTTAATTTGTATTTGTCCTGTTTGTACGTTTGGTTCAAGTCTGTCTCCTTATTGTTTCGTTTGTTGTCATATGTGAGGATGGTTTTTTATTGTTTGTGTGATGTTTTGCAGGATTCATAGATAATAGATTTGGTATGGGCTGCCATGCATGTAACTGTCGTTTCATTTAAAAAGGTCTACAACGACATCGATTATTTAGGTTGACTGTTGTCGTAGAGCTGAAGAAATCTCTCTGTTTTTGCCAGGGCTGCTGGGGGTATTTCTCTCCACATATTCTGTCTTTCTTTTGTTTATCTGCGGCCTTCATGCTGAATTATTGCTCTTCGAATTGTTTTGAGGATAACCAATCGCTCATATTGTTCAAATTTTGTAATTCAGTGACCTTTTGTGTTCATTTTTGGTTTGGTTCCTATTTGAAACGAATCAAATTGAATATTTGTAACCAAAATAATTGATTTTTCTAATTGCCCAAATTGTTCAAATTTGGTAATTTAGTGTGCTTTTACGTGCATTCTGGTTTGGTTCTTATTTGAAATGAATCAAATCGAATTGAATATTTAGTGACCTTTTATGCACATTTCTGGTTTAGTCCATTATTTTAACACATACAATATTTATAATCCATTTGACATTCCTGCAGTAACAGGTTAAAACTACTCTATGGGATAAAACTACTAGTCCTCTCTAAATTATAGTTAGGAGCTCAATGGAGACACAAAAAAAAAAAAAAAGGAGGCAAAACATGGGAAGATATAAAATGAGTATTTCATTAAGTTTATTAGGGTGTGAAGAAAATAGGGAAGAAATAAAATGAGTATTTCATTGAACCAATTCACGGATATTTAAACCAATTTAAACTTGCATTTTATGAATGAAATATACACACATACACACATCAAGAAAATTAACAATCCAGTTAAAAGAAGCTCAAATAAGAAGCACACTCTAGTATAAAGCAGTTTGAGTAGACATATGCACACAAGCAGTTTCAAATGCATCAAAGTTTACAGAAATCGCACAAGCATTATTTCCCAAACACCAAAACCGAAAATTTAGCGAACAAAGCTCCAAATACAAATCACTGAACAAAGCTCCAAATACAAATCACACTTTTACGACAAAACACACAAGTCAATGCAAGCATAACATGACATGGAATATGCTTCAGTGCCTTCCCAAATTGCACAAGTTTTAGTTTCAAAAAAAAGAAAAAAATTGCACAAGTTTCTGGGATAGCTTTCCAGGGAAGCAAGGCTGGGCACAGACTATTGAGGGGAGAACAGAGAATAGTTAGGGCAAGTAACAAGAAGAATTAGAAATAAGTATACTGAAAGTAGCAACTATAATTACGCCAATGCCAAGATAGAGTGCATCCTCTAGGATCTCCAATGCGTATTTCCATCGACTCCAAGTAGCATAGTTTTTATCCATCTAAAAATTTGAACACACCAATGTGATTTCCGTGGAATGTGTAGTGTGGTTCAACAAATCAGAGTGCCTTCCAGTCTGCTCTCCAGGCTGATATTTCTTCCTTTAAAAGGAAGAACAAAAGGAAGAGGGAAATAACACACAAACACGCAATCGCACACAATCGGAAAACCTTAACACGCCAGCCAAAAGATGAGGATTCCTTTTTGGCAGAGAGTCTTGCAATTGTAACATCTACATTTGACTCCGCAATCATCAACTGGTCCTGTAGAAATCTATACTTAGTTGAAGATTACAAATAAACACGTAAGCTGTTCAATATGAAATCTGAATGAACAACTATGAATATGATGAATAAATCAGACTTTTAAATTTGACGGTTCAAGGTTCAGAAAAAAGCTGAAAAATTGGAGAGTGAAATTAATAGATGCACTTAGTGAATGAAGTACTTACAGTTTGATCACGATCATTTTCCTTTGAATCACTTAGCATCCGTACATCATCAGTTTCCTCTGCTATTTGTAGTCTTTCTGGTCTTGGATCACTTTGGAGTAACCCATCAGGAGAAATCTTTAACTCGATCAGCTGACACTTCTCGACAATCAAATTCTTGGACGGTAAGGATGGGACCTTGAAAATGCAATTTCCAGTGCAAAATCCTTGCAGACTTGGTAGATCACAAAGTTTCAAATCTTGCAAGCAACTGAAAGTAATCTCATTTTCTGTATCATCTCCGTTGCTTGCCACTATTTCTACCATTCTTTCGCAGGACTCAACTTCCAAATTCTTGAGTTGCTGCAAATTCTTAGCCTCAGAATAAGGTATTAAGCATTGCAATCCGTGACAATCCAATATGATCAAAGTGGTTAGATTTCTAAAGGATATCAAAGTTGAAGCTAGATTCTCTAATCTGCCACATTTTTCTAGGCCTAGAAATTCCAAGTTTGGAAATACACGGCCCCTTGGTTGGGAGTTCTCCTTTCCTAGATGTATCAGCTCCGGCATATTGCTGAGACACAAAACCTTAACACATGGGAGGCTCTCAACTTCATGTATTTCCGTGCTGCTACTTCCTCGGTGGTTGTGGACAATTAATTCTTTCCAAGGAGCAGAGAACACACGGAGAATTTCAATATTTTGGAATTTCTCAAAGAAAACATCTGACTTGGGCTGTGAAGTAGCAAAACCAATTCCTTTTAGTTTTCTCAACAACTCTGCCAGGAGTGGACCATACAAAATCTCTGTGTTCTCGTCCAAAATCAAGTATTCCAAGTTGAGGAATGACTTATCCTGAAATATAATCAACGGTAATGACATGCTTTAAAATATTTATATTAAAAATTTCGACACCACATAATAATTTTAATATTAAAAACTTAATCAATGTATTTACTTGATGGTGTATGTTTAACTAGTATGTAAAATCACATAAAATTTCGAATATCAAAAGAATAGTGTACAAGTATGGTTACCTTTTCAATTAAAAAGAAAGGCTGTTTCATTGGTGTTGGGTGGCCCAACTCAAGTTTGTCTTCATATGTTGAAAATTCAGCAGCAAAAATCTCCACACCACCACATTTCGTGAGCTGTAACATGTTGAGTGATGGCCAATTAGAAACATGCAGTCCTGGATAGAAACTCCAAAGTTGGGGCAGATTATGAAATTCCAAAGATGTTACTTTAGGGAACCCGAACTTCTCATACGTCATTTCTGGTCCTTCTTCCTTCACAACAATTTCCTCCATTAAACCACAATTCTTAACCGTCAATTGGCTTAGCTGCTTAAGATCTTTGGCCACTGAGGTGGGAAAGACATTTTTCAAACTATCGCATGAGTCTATCTCAATTGAGTTTAGATTTGGGCACTCAAAACCATTCAACTGAGTAGTAGATGATGTGTCATATACCACTTGTAGTGACTGGCATTGCTGTATTTCTAAGCACTCTAGAGCTTTCAATCTTCCCATGATACTTGGCCCAAAGATATTAATTACACTGTGGCATCTACGAACATCCATAATTCTGAAGCTGCCAAAAGAATCTGAATGAAGTTGGTTGTGGAATATTGTATTCAACTTAGGTAAGTCCCATATGTACAACATCTCCAAGCTAGGAAATCCTACCTGTCACATATTCATTTTAGAACTTGTGAACAAACCTTTTTTTTTTCACAAGAGTGGGACGCATGCATAAGTTGGAAATAAAAGCACAAAGAAAAAAAGTGAAGGTATAATTCACCTTTTCGTCAAAGAGCTCAATATCTCTTTCTTCTTTGTTGGTTGTAATATTTTCACTCTTAGCATCAAAGATGAATGTTTCCAGTATAGTACAATCGTCTAAATCCAAATATGCCAAAGACGGAAATTTAATGTAACTTCCAGAGCTGAATCTAGCGAGGTTTGGAAGATGTTGTAGCTCTAAACGATTTAACTTATCAAACATGTCATCTGTATTCTCCTCATTTCCCACTATCTCTTCCATGATTTGACAACTGAAGATCTTGAGATTTTTGAGTTGTTCGAGACATTTAGCCATGGAACTCGAAAACAAGAATCTTAAACTATCACATCCATGCACAGTCAAGGTTGTTAAGTTGGGCATCAAAATCTACAAAGCACAAAATAAATTTCATGTTTATTCTAGGAAATTACAATTTACATTGTTGTTATATGTTCAAAAAGTGTAGATAAAAAGTAAATGTCATATATTAAAAAAGTAAGCTACTATTTTTTCATTGGTCAAAAGTGATATCTATTAAACACCCAAAACGAGGTCACAAGAACAAACAGCCAAAAAGGCAAGAAAAGTAAAGAGATGATACCAGAACACAATATTGTGAAACTTTGGTGGTGAATTGTTCTAGTGTTTAAAGCTTAGTTCAAATTTTATGCATACAAAATAGGTGTGACCTTTTTATAACATGTCTCATTGCTTAACACCCGTCCACAAACTTAACCCCAACATAACCTTGTAAGCTCCCAATAAAATTAAATAAAAATAAAAACAAAAGTAAGAAAAAGAAGCTTCTCATCCTCCTCTCTCTCACTTCCCGGAAAATGATTCTCTCCGGATTTCTATTGCCATCAGTTTTCGTTTAATTTTAAATAAAAAAATCAAATAATTTATGTCACACGATAACGGCTAAAATATGGTGATCCATTTTCCACTTCCCCAAACACAGCAGCAGCGATATCAATTGCATCTCCTTCACAGTTTAAATCCATAAATCAAACCCAAAAGCCTCGCCCTTCAATTTAATTGCTCCTTCAAACAATAGGGGACGACCAATTTTGGGAAGATTGAAGAATAAATCCCTTTTGGGCTGTCAGATTCATTGAATTTACGCCCTTGTCGATCGAGAGGGATCTCGACGTCACCATCGACGATCTCCTATTCCAAATCCTTGGGGTCCTTGCCGTTGGCCGTGCAGCCCACCGAGACGCAGATTCCGAGAATCTACTTCACCGTTCCCGCGAGCTCCTTCGGCCATGTATCTATTCCTCATAACCTTGGCAATCTCGATGACGTCATCAAGGGAGATGCTGCCGCTGTGCTTGAAGAGGTGGTGGTCCGTGAGAGAGGGGGCGGTGATTGGTGGCGTTGGGAATGATGGGGAATGGGAGAGGCTGGGCTACGCTCTGATTTTTTTTCTTTATTTTATTTTATTTGGAGTTTACAGCATTAGGTTTGGTTGAGTGAATGGACAGGTGTCAAATTTTAAGAAAACAACAAAGAAGCCACGTGCATAAATAGGTGCAGAAATTTTGAACTGGTTAGGGCTTAAATATCGTGGGTTATCAAAGCCTGTTTAATATACCATTTAAATGGTTTTGTCTGAGGAAAACAGATGAAAATTAAACAGTTAATTAGAATTCGATGCTGTTGTGGTCTATTTTATCTGACAGAGGGACTAGGGCCGGCGGCAGAGAGAGAGAGGAGAGAGATGTGTGTTTGTAGAATTGTAGGGGAATGTGTGTGTTGTTATCCCTCCTACATTGTGCCTTTATTTATAGTAGTAAAGGTAGAGAAGATATTCCTTCTCCTCCAAGTAATACAAGTTGCAATAGGAAAGGATAACTAGAATCAAATCTTATCTAGGATTTACACAATCATACTTAAACTAGGAATGTTTACAACACTCCCCCTTGAGTGGGTAAATACTCAAGGTAGATTCAGCATCATGCAGAAGTTGAGGAAGTCGACTCGTTGGCATTGATTCCAAGGAACAACGCTTATTCTCAATAAGGTAGGAACTTGCATAAGTAGTAAGTCTCACTAAAAAAACCCTAAGGCTATGGCAAAAACCCAAGTAGGGACAAAATCCATAGTCTAAGGAAAAATGCGTGAGAAATGCAAAAGTCAAAAGAAACGTCTACAGGACGTCATCAGGGATATGACCAGCCAAGGTGGGTGCCTCGTTAAAAACCTAGTTAGGTAGCAAAAAACCCAGTGGGAAAAATGCTCCTAATCGTAGGGAAAAAGAGTACATTAAGATCAAGCAAGTATCTAGAAGATACTCCCCCTGAGTTTGACATAATTCCACAGAGAAATAGCAAAGTTACAACTCAGAAAGTTTACGCATACCAATTCCATGAACAAGCTTCTGAAACGTCGCCTTCGGTAGTGATTTGGTGAAGAGGTCGGCCAGATTGTCTTATGATCGGATTTGCATGACTTCAATCTTCTGATGCTCTTGTTGTTGATGTGTAAAGAAGAACTTCGGCGCAATATGCTTAGTGTTGTCTCCTTTGATGTAACCCTTCTTGAGCTGTTCGATGCAAGCTGCGTTGTCTTCAAAAATCGTCGTCGGGGCATTAATGGCGGGATGAAGATCACAGGAGCTTCAAATATGGCCCACTACTGCTCTCAACCAAAAGCATTCCCGAGTTGCTTCATGTAAGGCGAGAATTTCAGCATGGTTAGACGAAGTGGCAACTAAGGTCTGTTTAGTTGACCTCCAAGATATTGCGGTGCCTCCAACGGTAAAGACATAACCCGTTTGAGAACGCGCCTTGTGCGGATCAGATAAGTATCCAGCGTCGGCATAACCAACAAGGCGAGAATCAACCCGATGAGCATAGGGTGCGGCATCACTCGAGGATTCGTAGGGATAGAATAAGCCGAAATCCGTAGTACCCTTAAGGTAACGGAAGATGTCTTTCACGCCAGTCCAATATCTGCGTGTTGGTGCATTGCTGTATCTTGCCAAAAGATTAACAGCGAAGGAGATGTCGGGTCTAGTGCATTGAGCTAAGTACAATAAAGCGCCTATCGCACTTAGATAAGGAACTTCAGGCTCCAAAATCTCTTCATCATCCTCCTTCGGACGGAAGGGATCTCGCTTTGCATCTAACGTACGAACGACCATAGGAGTACTCGAAGACTTCGCTTTATCCTCATTAAAACGGCGCAACACCTTCTGGGTGTAGTTCGATTGATGTACTAGGATTCCATCCGAACAATGCTCTATCTCGAGACCGAGACAGTATCGAGTCTTACCTAGATCTTTCATCTCAAATTTCGACTTCAGGTGCGAAGCAGTTCTCGCGAGCTCTTCAGGAGTTCCGATGAGATTCATGTCATCGACATATACTGCAACAATCGCAAATCCGGAATGTGACTTCTTAATGAACACACAAGGGCATAGTTCGTTATTCACATATCCCTGACTAGTCAAATACTCACTTAAACGGTTATACCACATTCTTCCGGATTGTTTCAAACCGTATAGTGAACGCCTCAGCCGAATTGAGAGCGTGTTCCGGGGTTTGGAAATATTTGAACCAGTCAATGTAAGTCCTTCGGGAACTTTCATATAAAATTTCCGTATCAAGATCCCCATAGAGATACGCGGTTACTACGTCCATCAGCTGCATATCCAGTTTTTCGGAAACTACCAAACTGATAAGGTATCGAAAAGTAATCACATCCATAACGGGTGAGTAAGTTTCGTCATAGTCAATCCCGGGGCGTTGTGAGAAACCTTGTGCTACAAGACGAGCTTTGTAACGCACAATTTCGTTCTTCTCATTACGCTTCCGAACGAAAACCCACTTGTAGCCAACGGGCTTCACATGTGGAGGAGTAGGAACTACAGGTCCAAACACCTTACGTTTCGCAAGTGAATCAAGTTCGACTTGGATTGCTTGTTTCCAGTTTAACCAATCAGCTCTACGTCGACATTCATCAACGGAACGCGGTTCAATGTCATCGCTCAACATGATCTCAGTAGCTACTGCAAATGCTAATGCATCGTCGACAATCATCTCATTTCTACGCCACACATCATCTAAGCTAGCATAATAGACCGAAATCTCACGATTCTCGGGAGGAGGATTCATCTCTTCAAGGACGCTTCCATAATCTAGAATTTCCTCATGAGTTGGGTAAAATGAGTAAGCGATAGTCGGATTCACGGTAGGCTCTTCAGGACCTTGTGCCGTGGTTTTCCTCTTCCGGGGGTGTGAATCCTTTCAACCAAGGGGTCTGCCATGGTTTTGTGTAGGGGCAGATGATTGGCTAGCCGCTAATGTACGTGGATCACCAGAATTGGCGTCCCGGGCTTCCAGGAGGGTAGTCCGTCGTACATTTGGTACATCCATCTTTGCAGGCGTATTCGCAGCTGGAATATGTGATCTTGTCATGCGTGCTAGATCGGTGAAAGCATCTGGCATGCTCTGAGCTATGCTCTGGAGATCTAATATGCGCTGCACTTCAGCTTCAGACTGAGCGGTGCGGGGATCTAAATGAGACAAAGTGGGAGTCGTCCACGATAATTCGCGTCGTTCATTAGGAACGTTGACGTTCTTATCTTCCCCTAACGACGGGAAAACTGTCTCATAGAAGTGACAATCCGCGAAACGAGCGGTAACAGATCGCCTGTCAAAGGTTCTAAGTAACGAATAATCGAAGGAGAATCATATCCGACATAGATTCCCATCCTTCGCTGAGGCCCCATTTTTGTACGTAAGGGCGGCGAGATCGGCACATAGACCGCACAACCAAAAACGCGCAGATGCGATATGTCGGGTTCGCATCCGGTGACCAACTGAAGGGCACTAAATGGTTGTGTCGCAACAGGCCTCAGGCGGACCAACTTTGCTGCGTGCAATATTGCATGGCCCCAAGCAGCGATCGGGAGCTTGGTACGTATGACCAACGATCGAGCAATCATTTGTAAACGCTTAATGAAAGCCTCTGCCAGGCCGTTCTGGGTGTGAACATGGGGTACAGGATGTTCAACTTCAACCCCAACCGACATGCAATAGTCATCAAAAGTTTTAGATGTGAATTCTCCAGCATTATCCAATCGAATAGATTTGATCGGATAATCAGGGTGGTGAGCCCTGAGCTTGATAACCTGAGCCAACAGTTTGGAGAATGCAGCGTTCCTTGTGGACAACAAGCACACGTGTGACCAACGTGTAGAAGCGTCAACCAAAACCATAAAATATCTAAATGGTCCGCAGGGAGGTTGAATCGGTCCACAAAGGTCCCTCTGAATCCGTTGTAGAAAAATGGGAGGATTCGAACGAATCTTGTCATAAGAAGGCTTAGTAATAAGCTTTCCCATAGAACATGTTTGACATGCAATTTCATG